CCTCCCGTAACCTTCCACTTTGGTATCAGTCCTTTTCTATTCACTTGTTCTTTGTATGCTACTGTAAAGCGTCGTAAATTGAACCGATGTACTTGTGTGACAGTCTTTGGTTTTTTCTGCTTAGTATATCGCGACGATAAAACGCTCTCTTCTGTTTTCCACTCTTTCTCGCCTGAGAAATATGCTGAATCTACGAAGTCCCACAAAATCTCTCGAGTTAAGACGTATAGCGTTACATCCGAAGGTAAATGGAGCTCAACTCAACTGAATCCCAGTTAACAGAAGAGTATCCTGTTTGTTTGTGACACATTGAAAACTAAGAATGGAAGTGTTGCCGTTTTTATCTTGTTAACCCTGCCTACTCACACACTGACTGAAGTCAGGATGAGTTCTACCGAATACTGTCTAACCTCTTGCTGAAAACCAAACCCTCAGATGTGGTTGTTATATAATGTGATTTCAGTGCATAAGTAGGAAGGCTTGGCCGGGGAGAAACACATTTAGGTAGTACTTTCACATTATCAGTCGTATAAATGAATAGTGGTGATCTGCTGCTACAACCATCGATCTTTAGTCAACAGATTTCAGAACTAGAGAGATAATGTACTTGCTTTTTTCGACTGATTGACGAGTGTACACATTCCGCATCACTTTCAGTTAGTGAGTATATACGGATGGTCGAATTCGAAGTGATTTCTCCTACAATTATCTACGGATATGATAGTATTGTCTAAAAGTCATTCCCGATGACCATCAAAATACGAAAACGCTTTTCAGTGGAGAAGCCTCCTGGATCCGATTTCAAAACTCCATGAAGAGGAATTCTAGGTTATTTTAAATAGACTATTGGAGATTATCCGGAATTTTGCACTTCATATTTTGCCTACGCTCGTGAGTTTAATGAATCCATTTACTATTATTTAGTTCATTGCAATGATACATTGGTACACTGTTGCTGCCTCTTACCAGCAGTAATTCATTCACTAGGTATCCTTCCAAAGATGACATGTAATCCACCGTATTATAGGGTATTATCCAACCTCTTCGGTGAATCCAGATAACGACCACTAATAAGTTTTATTTGTTCTAAATCCACAAGTGCGAAACTAAGATAAGACACCGTTGGTTGTAGGGGAGAAAACTTGAATTTTCAGTCTTGCTATGAAAGCCAGATATGTGGGTTAATTGGTTACAGGACAGTCAACAAGCAACGTAAACTAACGCGATAAAATCAATTCTTTTTCACTTCCACGTTGCTACGCTTGATTTTTTTGCATTGATTTGTAATACGCTTCTCTAAACCACTTACCCGCAGTCCTCATCTGAATTCCAATAAAATGGATCAATTTATTAAAATCCTTCTCTGTTCACATTCATTAGTTCAAAACTCATATCAGTGGAACATGTAAACTGAATTTTGTTAAAGCTGAAGTCGGATAGTCATTAAACAGTACAATGCTGCAATTAACCTACAGTATTCAATGACTCAACCTCGCCTGGTTAACTAGTTTACTAGTTACTAGCCGGTCCTAAGCCCGGGTAAAGAGGGAAGGTTGGGCATAGGGCTAGCAACCCTACCCCGTAAAACAAATCTAACCACTAAAAAACTTCAAAGCACAAACAAAATATAAAAAATAAAAACAAACTTATTCCCCGCTGGAATCGGAGAGGCGAAATGACGCCAGTTGGTGAAAGCCTTCGGGAAGCCAATTGGCCGATGTGTCTTCTCTCGATGAAAGCGAAAGTAAACGTGGGGACATGGAATGTCCGCACGATGTTTGGACCCAGTAAGGCAACCCAGATTGCAAAGGAGATGAGAAGGTATCACATCGAAGTGCTTGGGATTTGCGAAAGCAGATGGAATGGGAGTGGACTCTCCAAACTGTCAACTGGAGAATCAATAATCTACTCCGGTCACCCAGACGCCAACCACGAGCACACTGAGTCTCGGAGTGGCTATCATGATGTCCTCAAGAGCATCGAAGGCTCTCATGCAGTGGGAACCAATCTCCTCCAGGATCATGACAGCAAGATTCAACTCAAAAGGAAGGAAGGTCACAATCATACAATGTTATGCACCTACAAATAATGCAGAGCAAGAGAAAAAGGAGGATTTCTACAGACAACTTCAATCAATACTGGACAAGACGTCAGTTGGCGATATCAAAATTCTAATGGGTGGGGTGACATGAATGCCAAACTGGGAGGGGACAACACAGGAAGAGAACTAACCATGGGTCGAGAGGCGCTAGGTGAAATGAATGAGAATGGAGAATTGTTTGCAGAATTCTGCGCATTCAACGATTTGGTGATTGGAGGCAGTGTGTTCAGGCACAAAGATATCCACAAAGCGACATGGATTTCACCAGATGCACACACTAAAAATCAAATCGACTTTATCTCAATCTCAAGAAAATGGAGACGCAGTCTACTTAACACAAGGTCAAGAAGAGGAGCAGATGTAGGCTCAGACCACTATCTAGTGCAAGGAACCTTCCAAATCAAGTCGAAAGCCTTCAAGGAAGCTGGTGATAGACCTCAATTCAAGTACAACACTCGGAAACTGAAGGATGAAACTACAAAGGAGATCTTCAAGGCAGCCATCAAGACAAAATGGGAGACATCGAGCAACATCCCTGAAGAAACCTGTGTGGAAGAACACTGGGAGTCTTTGAAAGCTATGTGGAAAGAAACCTGCACAACCGTATTAGGAAGGAAGAAGAAAAGGAATGGATCTCGACGGATACCTGGAAGCTGATAGAGCAGGGAGAGGAGGGTGGTGAAGCAGAAGATAAACCAGTGCAAGGATGCTCAACGACAAGAGGAACTGAGCACAATGTATAAAACACTGGATAAAAAAGTGAAGAAGAGTGCACGCAAAGACAAAAGACACTTCTACGAAACACTGGCAGGTGAAGCAGAACAGGCTGCAGGTAAGAGAGACCTGACGACATTGTATCAAATAACCAGGTTGCTATCAGGGAAGAGACCAACACAGATGAAACCAATAAAAGATGTAGAAGGAAATTTAATTACAAGAGAAGAGAAACAGAGGAAACGATGGGCCGACCACTTCAAGAAGCTCTTGAATCGACCACCACCTGCACTTCGTCCAGAAATACCACCTGCAGCCGCTGAATTACAAGTGAACATAAATCCCCCAACGAAAATGGAAGTCCTGAACGCCATAAAGCTACTGAAATGCGGGAAAGCAGCAGGACCAGATGGGATCCCACCAGAAGCATTGAGAACAGATGCAAAGACAACAGCGGACATGCTCACACCACTATTGCAGAAGGTGTGAAAGGAAGAGAAGGTACCTGTCAGTTGATTGAAAGAAGAATTACCTTGTCAAACTCCCGAAGAAAGGAGACCTCAGTGATTGCAAGAACTGGCGCGGAATCACTCTCCTGTCCACCCCAAGTAAAATATTAAGCCGCATCATCCTGGAGAGGCTTAAAGACGCACTGGATTCAAAACTGCGACCGGAATACGCAGGCTGGCTGGATTCAGGAAGTACAAATCATGTGCAGACCAAATTGCAAAGCTTCGCATCATCATAGAACAGAGCATAGAATGGCAATCAGCTCTCTGCCTCAACTTCATCGACTTTGAGAAGGCCTTTGACAGCGTCGACCGAGAGGCAATTTGGAAACTGCTTCAATACTACGGAGTACCACAAACCTTTATCCGCCTCATTCAACAACTATATGAAGATGCCACATGCCAAGTAATTCACAATGGGAAGCTCAGTGATGCTTTCGAAGTGAAGACAGGAGTGAAACAAGGTTGCCTACTATCCCTCAAGATATTCCTGATTGTGGTCGACTGGACTGGACCATGCAACAAACATTGAGGAGCGAGAAGAGGGGGATACGCTGGACCGCGGAAAAGAACCTAGAAGACTTGTATTTCTCCGATGACTTGTGTCTGATGTCGCACAAACTAGAAGATCTACAGGCGAAAACTAACAAGTTGATAGAAGAGGTAGGGCAGCGAAGACGGGACTTCAGGTGAATATAGAGAAGACAGAAGTGATGAAGATACCGCACCACCACCATCAACAACAACAAACTCCAGTTACCATCAACGGGAGAAACTTAAAGGAAGTAACCTCCTTCACCTATCTAGGAAGCACTGTCTCAACTACAGGCGGGACGGACGAGGACGTCAAAGTCAGAATCGGAAAGACAGCAAGACAGGCGTTCATTAGCCTGAAACCAGTGTGGAGATCTTCTGCACTCAGCATGCGGAACAAGATACGGATTTTCAACACCAACGTCAAGTCAGTGCTCTTGTATGGTTCAGAGACTTGGCGCGTCACGAAAGACATTTCTAATAAACTACAGACATTCATCAACAACTGCTTACGCTCGCTACTGAAGATCAGATGGCCAGAAAGAATAAGCAACAAGGAACTCTGGGAACGAACCAACCAAGAAGCTATCACCCAACAAATATGCAGGAAGAAGTGGAGATGGATTGGCCATGCACTGAGAAGGCCGACTGAGGACATCACGCGTCAGGCCCTCGAGTGGAATCCCCATGGGAAGCGACGAGTTGGACGTCCAAGGGTGACATGGAGGAGGTCGTGCGAGGAGGAAATGAGAGCTTCTGGGCTGTCGTGGAACCAGGTTCAAAAGATCTCAGAGAACAGAGGTCACTGGAGGCGTGCTACTGAAGCCCTATGTTCCACTAGGAACCCAAGGGACTAATAATAATAATAATAATTCAATGACTCACATCACTAAGATACCTGGGATGATGCATTGCATTTACTATCACTGGGTGGTGTTCGAATAGTGTTACGTCTACCTAGTCTTGATCATCTACTTACGATGAAAAACCTCACACAATAGCTACATTATTGGATGGGATATGGATCTGAATTCTTTGTTTACTATACCATTCCAGCCACATATATATACACCTCACCACACATCAAAGAGGAACGTATTGCATGTGAATTTGAATTATGATTCGGCGGAAATACAAACTTTGCCGCATAAAAGCTGTAGAAAATTAGAGATGCAGACCGAAAAAGAGAAATGGAGAGAGGTGTATTTAGTCGTAAGCCAAAATGAAATACAGAATGACTTTGCAAAGAAATATAAAATAAAAAATGGAAAAATATTAAAGGTATACACAATGAAAGCAATGATTAAAACGATGATCGACAGTTTTCAATCAAAAGAAAATAATAAGCGAAATTATCAGCATAGAGATAGGGTTTTATGTACAGGATTCCGCTTATTTATTATATGAAACGTTAAATGAAACGTTTAAGATGATCAGAAGCAAAGGGACTGGTGAAATCTAGACAGAAATGCATAGGGGTGTTGCCGAATAAACAATATTGATTTTCAGTTATTTAGTGCATTTTGTTTGTAGTAATGTATGGACTAGTTCCCAATTCGATTTCACGACGAAAAGACTGATTCCAGGAACTTGAGCTGACGGGATAACAATAGCTGGGGAGTTGAAAACTGTTCCATTTCCGTAGAGTTTGTGCGATTGAAGCTAACAGATGAACTTGCATCAGTAAACAGTGCTGGTTGGTGGTTCGTAGAATCAGAGGATGTAGCTGATAGTTCAAGATTATCAGCCCAGCGTTCTAAACTGCGAAGGGCACACAACACTTGTCCTAGAAACAAAAGAATACGAAATAAAGTTATAAGCCTACTGAAAGCAAACAGGTATTCAGAAGGATATGCTGCCTGACAAAAAGTAGAAAACATTCAGAAAATATGTACTAGTTTTCAAAACATACTTATTGAGTGAAGACAAATTATATAACTGAGTTGAGGAAACTTCAGCAGAAAGAAAGTGTACAACCGAAGAAGTGAAAATAGGATTCTCAGAGAAGCGTTATCGATTGTACTACTGTACTTTTAGGAAAAACCGTCCTACCTAAAAAAAATTTTAATAGTACCATTGCATAGTTAAGCTAAATGGCTTTCTATCAGCTCTTTTTTATTTCCATGTGATTAATTTAATTGTCAGGCTATAGGAGCAGGAAAAAATAAGCAAGTGCAGAGATGTTCAGATAGTCAAGTATGTTGATCAGATTCACGTGACAGCTAGAGTTATATAAACTACAGTTATCCGCACCCAAGGTCTGCAGAAAGTATATAAGTTTACTGTCAGTTATAACAGAAAGGTGTGTGAAGCTGAGATACACTGTTTGGAAGTCGAGTGTCTTAATTAGTTCCCTAATAATAAAAATAATAATAATAATAATCGCTTTGTTCCAAACAATATTTATGACAGAGTGGAATTCTCATTATGTAATTTTTCAACAGATCCACTCCTAGAACAATACCTTCAGACGAAATGGTTATAGCATCTGAATAATATTGATAATGACAGTATCGAAGGGAATAATGCGAAATAGCCAACTGGTTCTGAATGGGCATCCGGTTTATAATGAAGGATCAACAGAAATGCAAGCGTAATTTGGGTGGTGGTGGTCCATTCAGACGGTACAAAAATCTGCGACTCAATCTAAGCATCTGATGGATAGAAATATGATGTACTTTTATGCACTGAAAAGTCCATTTCCATATAACGTAACATATTTTCTCTGCTTTGTGATAGACTTGAGAAACGTAGCGTTGAAAACAGTTTAAAAATGTGCAAGATTACATGATACGTTCAAAGGACATATCTATATGATCAAAACATATTGAAAGGAAAGAATTTGGTGAAAAATGGTCGGTAGATAATTTTGGTAGCCCAACGTTCAAGCAGGCCACCATGCATTGCATAGTTCCTTAGATGCTAAGAGGATCGACTACGTCTTCGAAAAAATTGTGCAACGATCTGGTGATGACCAGGGAAGCAACTTATTCCATTTGGTATTTATTCATTCACTCTTATTTAGCTGTATCACTTTTTGTTCATAGTTTTTAGTTAACTGAAATTAAATCACAATATCTTGCTTATTTATCGTATGATCTGCTTACTCAATCTTATAGGACTTAGATCTCTCAATATTTTGGTTGCTAATCTTGTAGTTACTTTTGATTCGGGAAACTCTCATTGAATTATGTATATAATCATGATAATTTGCTACTATTTATTAAACTTCCTGTAATTTACCCTCATGACTGACGTTTGTGACTACTTCTGTCCGTCCTAACCACTGACCAATATTCTGTTCTCTTTCAACGAATTAAAGTATGTTAACTTTTCAGTAAAGCTCTATATTTCGATATTCTTGGTTGACAAGATATCAATGAAATAAAATGGATCCATTTTATCCTGTTCCCACCGTTGTTCTTGCTCTTTTCATATTCCATATGATAAAACAAGACATTCAAATTTGCAAATTTCTGTATTGAGCACACTTAACTTTTCTACACAATATGATAAAGAACTGCCAGTTTGACTGTTTGCATACTGTCAGTGAAACAGTGAATCAAGCATTATCAGTATTTTAAACCTTTGAAAAAAAGGTTGATTTAGGCAACAGCACCACACTCTTGAAGAGGATTCACAACTATCTATGCCCAGACCATCATTAGTAAATATTTATCAACGTATATAAAATTCAGTTTAGAAAACAAGTGAATAATGATATACAGAATGCCTTATAAAAAAAGATTGAGGAATGCTGTTTTATGATTTATAAATAGATGAAACATTGAACTGTTTCAAGCAACAACAGGTGAGCAAACAGGAAATAATAACCTTGTAAATAGAAGTATGCAGAAAAAGTTAATCAAGTAGATAACTACTATTATTAGTCCCTTGGGTTCCTAATGCAACATAGGGCTTCAGTAGCATGTCTCCAGTGAACCCTGTTCTCTGAAATCTTTTGACCCTGGCTCCACGACAATCCACAAGCTCTCATTTCCTCCTCGCACGATCTCCTCCATGTCACCCATGGACGACCAACTCGTCGCTTCCCATGGGATTCCACTCGACGGCATGTCCTGATGCGTGATGTCCCCAGCCGGCTTCTCAGTGTATGCCCAATCTATCTCCACTTCCTTCCAGTGCATATTTGTTGGGTGATAGCTTCTTGGTTGGTTCGTTCCCAGAGTTCCTTGTTGCTTATTCTTTCTGGCCATCTGATCTTCAGTAGCGAGCGTAAGCAGTTGTTGATGAATGTCTGTAGTTTATTGGAAATGCCTTACGTAACGCGCCAAGTCTCTGAACCATCACAAAGAAGCACTGACTTGACTGAGTTGGTGTTGAAAATCCGCATCCTGTTCCACATGCTGAGTGCAGTGCGAAGATCTCCACACTGGTTTCAGGCTAATGAACGCCTGTCTTGCTTTTCCGATCCTGGCTGACCTTGACATCCTCGTCCGTGTCGCCTTTAGTTGAAACAGTGCTTCCTAGACAGATGAAGGATGTTACTTCCTTTAAGTTTTCTCCCGTTGATGGTAACTGGAGTTTGTTGTTGTTGTTGGTGGTGGTGCGGTATCTTCATCACTTCTGTCTTCTCTATATTCACCTGAAGTCCCATCTTCGCTGCCCTACCTCTTCTATCAACTTGTTAGTTTTCGCCTGTAGATCTTCTGGTTTGTGCGACATCAGACACAAGTCATCGGAGAAATACAAGTCTTCTAGGTTCTTTTCCGCAGTCCGGCGTATCCCCCTCTTCTCGCTCCTCAATGTTTGTTGCATGGTCCAGTCCAGTCGACCACAATCAGGAATATCTTGAGGGATAGTAGGCAACCTTGTTTCACTCCTGTCTTCACTTCGAAGCATCACTGAGCTTCCCATTGTGAATTACTTGGCATGTGGCATCTTCATATAGTGTTGATGAGGCGGATAAAGTTTGTGGTACTCCGTAGTATTGAAGCAGTTTTCCAAATTGCCTCTCGGTCGACGCTGTCAAAGGCCTTCTCAAAGTCGATGAAGTTGAGGCAGAGAGCTGATTGCCATTCTATGCTCTGTTCTATGATGATGCGAAGCTTTGCAATTTGGTCTGCACATGATTTGTACTTCCTGAATCCAGCCAGCCTGCGTATTCCGGTCGTAGTTTTGAATCTAGTGCATCCTATAGCCTCTCCAGGATGATGCGACATATTATCGCCAGGTACCTCCTCTGCCATAACTGAGAGAATTAAAAAGTACAAACAATTCACCGAATCAAGAGTCAGTCAATTAGACTCCTTCAACTACTACCACCACCACTAACTATGTAGTGGGCGTTGCTGATAACAACGGACATAAGTAGTATATATCGAGAGGGTGGCAGGAATCATAGGGAATTACCGGCAATGGGTAAGGTTTCTGCCAAGAGCAACGCAGGGGACAACACAGGCGTATTACAGGGGATGCTGCTGATAAGAGTGTATGAAGAGCCGGTCAAGAGCAAATCAAGACAGGAACGGAGAGGAAACGAAGACATTTGCAAATGGCTGCGTTAGTGCAAGGAGTACCATATGTAAATGTAACCACTACCATTCCAATTCTTCCTAATATACATTCTCTCGTCGAGTTGTCTTCTGTTTCTTCAATTGGTGTCGCTGCCTTTGGACGTGATGAAGATCCCATGGCCTGCAGAGTTCGAGGATGGAGACATCAAGGTCTTCCTCAAGGACTTCGAGGCGGTAGCGGAGCTGGTGGGGGTTCGGGATCCGGAGGCGAAGGTGGGGAACGTTGCTGCGGGGCAGAGCGAAAGCAGCATATGACGGAGTGGAACGTGGTGACGGGAAGGAGACTTGGCGGAGAATGGTTCAGCGCCTGGAGGCGGAGTTCGACAGCTCGGCGGACAGGGAGCAGGCGATGCAGCAGTTCCGCAGCGCGAAGCTGGGAATAGATGAAGATCCGCTGGTGTTGGCTGTGAAGTTGACCAAACTACTTCGACGAGCGCTTCCCACGTTGGATGAGGATGCCCAACAACAGTTGCTGACCGCACAGTTCACTGAGAGTGTCCCGAATGCCATTGCCCACCAGTTACGACTAGTCAATGCAGCCCAGCCCATGGACATTAGCGAAATGGCCAAGGTGACCAGACAGCTAATGGGTACAGGAGTAGCGGCAGTGGAGTCACCAGAGGTAAATAACTGGCAAGAACAAATCAACAACCTTCAGAAAGAGATAGCAGCACTGCGAATGAGCGTCAACAAACAGAGTAAATGCTTCGCATGCGGGAAACCGGGACACTGGCGAAGGAATTGTCCGGAGAGGCGGAAAAGAAAACGTTTTGAACGATATAATATGAGTTCTGTTTTTCCGACTAGACTAGATATCGTAGGAGCCATAGATCGAGGCGCGGTGTATGCTAGATTGCGAATAAATGGTCGGGATATCGTGTGTCTCATAGATACAGGGGCGGCAGTCTCTCTAATAGATAAGAGGCAGTCTCACAACACAAGACCATGTGCGCTAACGGTCCATACGGTTGGGGACATGCACTGGATATTGCGGGCTTGTCAGATTGCGTTGTTGAGATCGGGAGCCAGAAAATTAGATTCCCATTTATTGTGACCGCGCGCCTACAACGCCCAATCCTAGGTGCCGATTTTCTGAGAGAAGTGGGTGCAGTGATTAACACGAGAACAGGAATAGTGGAACGAAGTACGGGTCGTTCAACACTCAGGAAAACAGCGAGGTAGCAGAGATTGAAGTACCAAAAGCACCGTACCCAGAAACGCCAAACATCATGAAGGTGGTTAAGAAATA